TATCATCATCATCATCATCATCATCATCATCATCATCATCATCATCATCGTCATCATCATCGGCTACTACTTTGCATTCGGAGTTCCAACCGAATTCATCTGCTATTTTGCAGATTTTTCATCATAATTATCATCATCATCATTATTATACATCATCATATATCAGGCATCATAATTATCTCCGTAATCCTCATAATCCCCACCACCATCATCATCATCATTACCATCATTGTCGACGTCGTCAAAGGGGTCCATCCGTGTTCGAAAGTGGATGGGGTGGGGGGAGGGCGAGGGGACGAATTGCAAAACAAGGAAGTCTTGGGAAGGCTCAAGCTTTGTAATCCCCTTGAAGTTCTGGCGTCTATAGACTTTTATATAAGTCGTATCTAATTGATTTTAAGGAATGCAATTAACCCGCCAAACCATATTTCAAAATACAGTGGCGGATCAAGAAATTCGAAATAGAGGGCAGGGAGGGACTTTTACAGGTGTCCACCATGGCTGGTACTGAGGTAAGAAAATTTATGGTTATTGCATAAACAGTTTTTCAATTTATCCAGGTAATTATTTTTATGAACAATGATTTATTATCTACTAATTAGCTTGTGACGTATTATATATATTAAAAACAAATGATAAACTTAAAACAGTCACTCCAATTTAGTCTCTTTGTTACAGTACTTTTAAAATCAATCAAGAGGTGCTTAGTGCTTTTTCCCTCTTTTTTAATTTCACTTTTGTGCAAGTGGGTCTAGTATTGCGACTACACTAATATGAGTGGAAATACTAGCGTCTAATTTACAATCAAACAGGAAGAGAGGAAGCACGCAAAACATTAGTTAGCATTTTTATTTCACAAAAATAAAAGTGATTTACTTAATTTATCATTATCATGCCGTCATAGCAAGATTGCGTCAACGTAACATTGGAGTTCCGTAAACTTGTGGTATCGCTACTTAAATAAATCGAAATAGATAGACCTTATCCGTCTCAATTAGGAAAAACAGGAATCATGTGATATTAAACACTGTACGTGTGTTAATAATATACAAAGGAGGAAATCGTTTATAGTAGAAATTTCTGTACTTTGGGTTTGTAAAAATAATAGGTTTACACGCTTCCAATTTTAACGTACAGTAAATTTTTTCACAATAAATGTAGCCTCTGATAACCGTTGCACCCGGCATAAAGTCGATTGCGTGGTTACTGAGATGGTTACGAAATGTACAAAATGTTCTTAGTCGGTTACGTTTTGGTCCGGAAATACGCACCGCACTTGGAACAGAGCCAGTGGCGCGTAACGAAGGGACAAGTGGCCCCTGAGCAGGGGCCATTTAGCGGGCCCATGCGCTGGGGGCCGAGGATCGAGAAGGGCCCCGGTGGGGGTCTGGGCCGAACTTTTTTATCGAATCTTTTACACATTCGAATTCAAAGTTTATGTATCGTGTTTTACCCAAAAAAAGCATAGTTAATTTTAA